CCGCCGAAGGCGGGAAGCGCTGCCCCTCCCCCTCGCCGCTCCCGCCTCCTCCCACGGCGCTCCCGCACACTCACGCCTCTGTCAGGAGTCCAGGGAAGAGCAGGAGCTGCCCCCGCGCTCCTGCAGTGTCGGGCAGTGCAGAGGCCCTGGCACGGAGGAAGGGAGGGGGAAGCGTGCGTCACGGAGAACGGAGCACGAGCGAAGCGGGGGCACAAACAAGATGGCGGCCACGCCGTTTGCCCCGTCTCTCCCCTTCCCCTCCCCCCCTTGGCGCCTCGGCTGCCGGCGCTGCGTAGTGCGCAGAAGCTGAGTTGCTTCAAGTCTCGCGAGAATTGGGTAGGGGCGACGGCAGGGTGAAAAGGAATAAGATCTGAGAGTTTCCTGGTCCCGCCCCCTTCCCGGCCGGAGGCGTTGCTCGGTGACCTCTGTAGGTCGTTCGGCCAGGATGATGGGTGTCTGCGGTGGAACGCACACTTAAATCTCGGGGAATAGGTCATTTTCATTTTTAATTTGAGAAGGAAGAGTATTGGGACGGAGGGCGACGTGGGCATGCCAGATTAAGCACGCTGTTGGAGAAGATAGCAGCCCCGTACATTCCCACTTAGAACCAACCTGTTGATACACGCCAGAATAAAGTTTTTTTCCAAGAATGTGAATTAGCTCGTGGCCTTGAGACGACATAGAAGTTGTTTTTCTCGTTTGAATGTGGAGTTTAAAACATCATCAAAGACAGCTGGAAATCACACTATGATGAGCACGTTTTTCGTACTGTGACCACCATGACCACTTAGTACAAAGCGATAGTAGTTTTTCCATTTTCCAGATGATTAAACTGAAGCTCAAAAGAGTTATGTCACTTGTTCAAGGCCCCACAGCTAGTAAGTGTCAAAACGCAATCTGAATAACTTTAAAACTTGTAGGTACATTCATCAAATACCTATAAAATGGAGTTATCCACAGTGAGTCAGTTACTGCATTGGGTTACAGGCACAGGAGAATGGAACTACCTCTGCTGATGGTAACCTGGAATTGTCCAAATGACTTTGGGGCCTTTCTGAACCTTGTGTTTCTTGGGTCCTAAACAATTAAAATCAATATGGTGTCCTTCCTTTGGTTTTATAACCCTGGTGATAAAGTAATTGAGAACAGTGGAATCAACCTTTGACTTGAATTCAGGGAAATTATTTTCAAATATAATTTCAATAAATCTCACTTCAGATACTCAAAAATATTTGGTGAGTGGATAAACACAACCCAGCTAGCTATAAGACGCCTGACTTTATGGAGTCCTCGTTTCTTCATCTGTACAATGATCTAATTCTACCTTCTGGGTGTGTGGAGATTGAAAGTGCTTTGTAAACTGCTAAAGTTATAAAGAAGTTAGTGATAATTATGACATTTTCAGGCATGAGAAATGGTATAAAATAACTAGAAACAGGAAGACCCAAAATAAAAAGTACTGTGTTGATGTTGTAGAGAGGTAAACTTAGTTCATAGAAAATAAGTAAGTCTACAAATACTCGTTGATCAATTACCACATACATGTTTGCCAAAAAGATGTAAAAATATGTAGGAAGCAGCACAAATTATTTTTGGGGGGAGGGGACACATACTCTCACCGGAGAGAGAGAAAGTGAGAAATCACCCCCTAGGAGGGATCTAGCCACATTAACTACCATGCAACCATCTGGCCTCAAATTAGTACTGGTAATGATTATTGTTAATTAAGTATTGTTATAATTAAGTATCAATAGCATATAGGGATTGCAGTCAGTTTCCTTCCAAGAGCCTGGAAACAGGTTGCCCTCTGAAATAAAATAAACTAATGTAAATCTGCATTGTCAAGGAAATTAGGAAAGTGTGATATTAAGTCTATTTAACAAATAGTGCTCAAGTAGATTAGATGTCCATGTAGGGTTCTGGCAGTATCACTGTGGCCGCAGTGTTAACCCTTCAGTTGTTGGTTTGTGAATAGTAGGCCCCAGAGGATCTCAGGAGAGGGAAGTTGTCAAGAGGGTTGGGACAGCAGCTATTTACCAGATCGCACTTAAGTATTTCAGTATTTGATAGTCAATATCATAACTGATAACTGTCATACAAACTGAGTATTAGTCCTTGCTGTAGACTGTTCTTATCAATTCTCTGTCCCCCCCCCCTTTCTAAAACTCTTCTTAACTGGCTTGTTCCTAGCAGATTGTACTTCTAACTCTGAAGTCATCAAGTCTGGCCTTGTTTGGGTCAATTAAATGTGAACAGAAATTTGTGAGCCATCTCATAATTTTGCTATAGCATTCCTTCCTCTAACATAAGAGCAGTATGTCCCAAATAGAACTGTTTCTTCAGCTGTGGTCCCAGATTGAAGACAGAGAGCTGTAGCTGAGCAAAAAATGATCCTTTGTTCTTGCAAACCATTAATTATTTTGGTAGTTATTTTGGTTGGTTGTTGCTGTAGCACGGCCTAATCAGCTCACCTAAGGTGACTAATACAGTTGAAATTAGCTATCCATGGGGTTAAGCCAAGAGCTTGTCTGCAAACATGATCAAAAAAATAAACCATGGGGGACCAGCAGATGGCGTAAGACAAGTCGCTGGACTCCCATATAGTCAACCACGGTTCGAGCCCTGGACCTGGTGGCTTAAACTCAAGCCAGGCACATGTGCATGCGTTCCCGAGATCCCAAGAGAATGGACGAGAAGGGATTGCACCATGGCCATCCGCCCTGGGAGAGGGGGGGGATTTCTCACTTTCTGTATGTTTCTCTCTATCTCTCTGTCTTTCTGGCAAGCATACCCACCCTATAGCAAAAACCTCTCAAAAAAAAAAAAAAAAAAAAACGGCTAGCAAGTGGTGGTGGTTAAGGCGCTGGAATCCCACATTGCTGACCACTTCAAGTCCTGAACAAAGAGGTTTGAAAATCACTCTGGGAGTGTGTGCGTGTATGCCCAAATTCCTGAGAGGAACATTGAGAATAAGGGATTATGGTATGGCCATCCCCCCTACAGAGTGATTTTTCACTTTTCCTCTCTCTGACTCTCACTGATGAGTGCCCAAGCCCTATGACCAAACAAAAACAAACCTCTGGTCCAGGTCATATGGAAGAAATCTCAAGAAAGCAAAGGTGACAATGATTTAATAAATAAAGTGCAATTAATCTTGTCATCCAGTCACTCTATATCCTATTTGAAGGCATTCTGTGAACCAAAGGGCTTGACAGCATGGCAGCCCAAAGCAGGTAGTCAGAAAGGCTAGCACTAGCATTGCCCTGCCAAATCCTCTCTTAGTCATACCCACCTGGGCATTAGGATTGCCCTGCCCTTGTCTTCCCTGTAGTGTGTGAGTCTACCTCAGATTGCCTCAGCCAAAACCCACTTAAGATCAATGCATTTCCCTGGTGTGATTTCTATGTTCACTCAGCAAATATCTTGCCAGTAGGGACAGAATTCAGTGATCTGCCACCTAGAGGATTTCATTGCATGTTTCATTTTAAATAAGTCAGTTAGATTCCGGTTTATGTAAATATTAGTTTACGTGAGCTTAGTGAATACAAGAGCCTGCTGGGAAATGGCTCCACTCTCTGCTTACTATTAAAGCCAAGCTTCTGAGTTGGCAGGGTCGAAGATCAGCTGGTGGTGAGGGTGACAGAAAATTCTTTCAAGTTAAGCACTTAGAGATACCCGTCTACATGGCCAGCTGGACTTCCTTGAGCCATGCTCCTCTGTCTCATTGTGTCTTTTCTTTGACAAAAAAAAAAAAAAAAAAAA